GGCCCAGAGTTCTTGAGGGATGATGTTAGGCTCCACTGAAGGGAGTGTTGAACATCTGGTCTGTCCATTTTCAAACCATATCATGACCAAGTCGTCACACATGAAGACCTAATAGTCCTCAATGAGATGCCAGTAAAATGTGGCAAGGGCCGGACCTTAAATTAGAACAGACAGGTCCTAACCCAGATGTCACCCTCCAAAACACCATCTCAGATGAACTGGCCCCTTTCCCTGCCCGTTGAAGCATTTGGACTGGATAATCCAATGATTTGATTGATGGCTCATACTGTGAAATGTAAGTTAGTGAGTGTTTTCCATGCTATACCATGAAGGTCAAACTTTCACAAGCGAACACTGCACCCAAGGAGAGAATGCTGAGTGTGCTAATGGCATCAGGGTTTGTTTTGACACATTCACTTTTACTGAGGTCTCAGAGATGTGACTTACAATATTGACTCGAACAAGGAAATCCAGGGAAGCTCTTTAGCTTAGGGGTTAAGAAAAGACATCTGAGCTTACTTCTGGCTTCTTTGCTGATGACCAAGAGCAAAGTTACTCAGTAGTGTTATATGTGTACACCTGTTTTCTTAGCATCAAATAAAAATTTTGAATTGGCAGTTGATAAGTACCAGAGAGGGAGAGTTAGTTTTCTTTAAGGGTGCAATGTCTGGTAGGTTACCCATGCTTAAGGGGTAGACCCAAAGAGAATTTGGGTAACACGAATTAGACCCTATGGGCTTTAAAAACAAATTTAAAAAAGAGTCCAGGAAGGTGGATGGGTCGAATTGGGGGTGGGGTGGGATTTAGAAGATGGGAGAGGGGATACATAGAATCTATATATATATATTGCATGAAATTCTCAAAGACTTAATAAAATATTATTTAAACATACTTTGACAATTAGTAGATGTCTTAGTTTCTTTTCCTGTTGTTATGATAAAATACCCAGACAAAAGCAAATTAAGGAGGGAAGGGTTTATTTTGGCTCACAGTTCGAGGATCCAGTTCATCATGGTCCGGAGCATGCAGCAGGAGTTTAAGGCAGCTGGTCACATTGTGTCCACAGTCCATAAGCAGAGGGTGATGCATTCATGAACTTCCCAGCTCTTTGTCCACTTATGTAGTCCAGGATCTCAGCCAGAGAACGGTACCATCTACAATGGGTGGCTCTACCCACCTCAGTGACCTCAAGCATGGTAACTCCCACAGGCAAGCCCAGAGGTCCATCTCTCAGGGACTTCTCAATTCTGTCAAGCTGACAGTTAACACTGTCCATCACAGGAGAGTAATACAGAAATTATAACAGAGCCTGGCGGATTTATCACAATCACGTAATAGATATTGGTTGCTATTTTCTGAATCTCAAAGCATTTTTTCATTTTTTTTGTGTGTGTATAGGTGTGCTTGTGTGTATTTTTGCATGAGTGCATGTATACTTGCGTGCATGAGCATATACCTGCACGTGTAGGTCAGCCTTGGGTGCTGTTCCTTAGGAGCTGCCCACCTTGTTTTGTGAGACAGTATCTCTTATGGACCCAGAGCTCCCTGAGTAAGCTAGTCTGGCTGGCCGTGGAGCCCCAGGGATCTACTTGGTTCTCCCCAGTGCTGGGATTTCAAGTGCATGCCACCACCCCTGGCTTTTTCACATGTGTTCTGGGGATCAAACTCAGATCCTCATGCTTCTTCAGCAAGCATGTTACTAAGACGTCTTACTTTCAGTCCAAAGTCTTAATGCTGACAAAAGGCTACAAGAAAGAGTCAGCATGAATCAGAGGAAATGAATGCTTTCAAAGGCTGTGTGACTTTGGTGGGTTGCAGAGATGAGGAGAGACAAACACATGGTTTCCAGGTTAAAAGACCTGTGCAGCGGAAGGAAGGAAACAGGTAAAGAACTTCAGTGCATGGTGATGATGATGGCAGCAGAGATATTCCCAGTGTACCATGGGATAAGTCATATATGGTCCCACACGTCAGTCACTCCTGCATACCAATGTGATGTTCATTTAAATCCTAAACACCAACATGTTCCAGAGACACAGTGAACAGTTGTAGCATGCTAAACATCGGGTTAGTGGTATGTAAAGGTAGGGCTATTCGCGCTGTTGTGTGGAGCTTAGGGAAAACAGGTCTCCTAGTTAGTTTTAAAAGGCAGCTAGGATCACCTGAGCAGGGAACATCAATTGAGGGAGTGCTCAGGTCAGATTGGGCTGTGGGCATGCCTATGGGGGGTTGTTTTGGTTGCTAATTGATGTGGGAGTGCTCAGTGCCACTGGGGAGGTGGTCTTGGGATGTGTAAGAAAGCTAGCTAGGGCACTGGAGAGAGATAGCTCGGAAGATAAGAACATTGACTGCTCTTCCAGAGGACCCCGGTTTGGTTCCTAGAACCCACATGACAGCTACCAACCATCCTTACCTCCACTTCTTGGAGTCAAGCACCCTCATCTGGCCTCTGTACAGACATTGTACAACATGGGTGCACTTACATACATACAAACAAAATGCTCATATAAATAGGTAAAAATAAACTGTTTTAAAAAAAGAAAACTTGGGGTTAGAGAAGTGGCTTAGCAGTTAAGAGCACTGGCTGCTCTTGCAGAGGACCTGGGTTCAGTTCCCAGCACCCACATGGTGGTTAACAACTGTCTGTACCTCCAGTTCTAGGGCAATCCAACATCCTCTTCTGACTTCCGCAGCCATTACACAAGACGGGTGCACTCACACACATGCAGGCAATACACTCACACGTGTAAAAATAGCACATAGAAAGCTAGCTAGGCAGTGTGCCATGGATTTAGCTTCAGGTTTGTTCTTGAGTTCCTGCCTTTCCCTCAGTGATGAACTGTAGCCCATAAACTGAAATACAGCCTTTACTAAGTTGCTATTGGTGAGAGTGTTTCATCACAGTGATGGAAAGGAAACCAGGATGCCGAGCAACGAGGCACCCAAGCATGAGACTGTAAGACTGCATCACTCAGTTACTTTTGATTGCTTTTCCACACACTGTGCATCTGTGTGCTCCCGTACATGTTTGTGTGAGCATGTGCACAGATGACAGTAGGCATGTGGATGCCAGAAGCAGGTGCTGGGTGTCTGTTTTGATCACCCTCTACCTTATTGCTTTTTGTTGAGCTTTTAAACTTTCATACAACATTTCCCATTCAAATCCAGACCCCCTCCCCCATCCATGCCTCTCCCATCCCCCCACAGAGCCCTATGCACTCTGCCATACATGCTGAATCTTAGTCATTCAAGTGTTTGTATCCAAGTGTCCTTCAGTGTAAACACGTCCACGACTGAACAATTTTTGGAGAATAAGAGACTTGAGTGCAGGATGGGACTCCTATACGGAACCTCACCCACACACAGCTCAGGGACCATTGTGAAGAGGGGGCAGAAAGATTGTAAGAGTCAGGGCTGGTTCATGAACACCAGGAGGTGGAGGCTTCCAGGCCACTGAAGGCTTGCTCATGTGAGCCTGCGGCAGTGGTGGCGTCAAACGCAGGACCCATGTCAGCTTATTTTTTTTTGAGATAGGGACTCCCACTGAACTTTTAGCTCTTTGAATCTACTAAGATGATCAGCCATGAGTTTTATGGATCAGCCTGTCTCTCCCCTGCCATCAGCACTGAGGTTACAGACACAAGACCCTAAGCCCAGTTTTTACATGGATGCTGGTGATTTTTAACCCGTGGAACCATCTCCCTAGCCCCACAGCAAGAGCTCATCATTAAGGAGTAGATACCTAGACAACATTGCCATTATGAATTTTTTTTCTTTTCTTTTTTTTTTTCCTCTGAGCCTGGATTTTTATTTTTGCTTAATATGATGATCTCTACTTTTGTCTCAATTTTCTAAGAAGTACAAATGGCACAATAATTTTCGGGTGCAGGCTGAAAGTTCCCGATGCTTCCAGAATGCTTTCCCAGACTCCATCTGACAGAGATACTTATGAAATTTATGGGAAATAAAGACTTTATTTTCAATCAGGATCCAGGTAGCTATATGTTTGGAAAAGTTTAGTGGATCCAATGTATTCCTTGGGTAAGGAATGCTTTTTTTAACGGTCAATCCTCCTGAAATTAGTAAATCTTTTAAAAAATACTTTATTATTTTAATTTTATATGCACGAGCGTATCACCTGCATGTATGTAAGTGGACCTGTGTCATGCAATGTCTGTGGAGGTCAGAAGAGAGCATAGGAGTCCCCTGGAACTAGAACTACAGACAGTTGTTAGCTGCCATGTGGGTGCTGGGAATTAAATCCAGCAAAAGAGCAGTCAATGGTCTTACTCTCTGAGTCATTTCTCCAGCCCCATGAAATAAGTAAATCTTTACTGGGCGTGTAACTGACGTTTACTGTGACTTTGTACAGTATGTCGTATGAAGTGTGCCTTCCATACCAATGACACCTTTTAAGTGAGCAAGTCTTAGGAAGACACGGGCCATTATATTCTACTTATAACTTGGACAGAGGTAAAGAATACAGAATTGAGAGACTCTGGTCATATAATCATACTATATCATTCTCCTAGCTCCTGCTCTGAGGGGTTTCTAATAGATCACTTTGACTGAGCTATATCATATTTCCAAAATCTGCTTTTTAAAAATGTATTCATATTTAGCAAATAATATAGGGTGCCCAGTTAAGTTTTAATTTTGCAAGAACAATAAATACCTTTTGATTGTAAGTATGTCCCACGCAATAATTGGAATATGGTGTTCAAAAACGCATTGAAACTGAGACTCATGTTGAACTAGGTAAAGAAGTTAATCGGCAACCACTTCTTGCATGTCTCCGCTGAGTGTGGCTCAAGACAGAGTTTAAGGCTGTGTGGAAGGTGGGAGACCTGGAGGACAGGTGGAAAGTGGGAAGCAAGGGCTCTACATTTTGTAGCTCATGCTCATCGTTGCTGGTTTCTCTGCTTGCAGATGCAATAGCTGGGACTGTAAGAATTCTACCTTCCCCAGGCTCGCCTTCAGTTTCCCCAGGGCCCATACCAGGACCGTCTGTCTGGTTGGATAAAGACATATTCTGGCAGATACAGAATGACCTCAGAAGCAGTAAGAGCTGATACGGTCCAGGTTTGGAGGTTCTAGATCATGCTTGTGGATGATCTTCCCCAACTTAAACCAACTGCCTGCTTTGTTCAAACTCTAGCCCTGGACTCAGACAGTGGTCTTAGAAATGTTGCTTAACTGACTCTGATGAGAACGTAAAGTCAGTTTCTCATTACAGATAGATCATCCTCATCAGGCTTTCAAGCCAAGGATGTTGCTGAGTGTCCTTAGCTATTGACTTCTTCTGTTGTCCATACATGGCTTCGACACTCAGGGATGTCTTCTTTTTATTGGCAACTGCCGTGTTAAAAAGCTAAGACTCAGGGATGGAGCACATGTTACCCTGAGAACATTTTGTTAGGAAAAGGGAACGATGTAAGTGGAAGCCCACTAAAGTTCAGCCTTCTGATGTGGCATTGTATGCATTGTCAGTCCATGTGCCAAACCTCTTTTCCCTCCCGGCTTTCTCTACACAGATGAACACATCACTCACTTTCCAAGTGTATCAGAAAGATAGACTGAGATTGGAACTAAGAGAATGGGAAGCAAATAGGCAACTCTCCACCCTCTCTTTTACTCATGAGAGCTGATGAGGGCTGTTCAAAGCAATTTCTCTAGTTAGCACATCAATTAGGGTCTCTGTATCATTTCAGGTCATATCTCCCATGTGGATTAGAGCCCTGTGACATTTCTACGTTGAGGTTCAGGGTGTGAAACATATACTATGAAGCTGGAAGCATAGTTACAGTGTGCTAAGGCGCGCGCATGCGCGTGCATGCGTGCGTGTGTGTGTGTGGTATATGCACCTATCTTGTGTAGGTGTGCGCATGCCTGTGCACATACATGCAGAACACAGACGATGTCTGGTTCTACCGCTCTTGACCTTATTCATTTGAGATAGTGTCTCTCGCCAAGACTTGAACCAGCTCTCAACCAGCAAAACTCCACTGATTCTCCAGTCTCCACCGCCCACAGCCCTGAGTTTATAGGTGTATTTGAGGCCACACCCGACTTTCTCTGTGCATAGTGGGATCTGAATTTAGGTCCTCAAGTTTGCACAGCAAGTGTTCTTACACTGAGCCATCTCCCCTGCCCCAACCCTCAGCTTTTAGATAGATGCACACATATGGCTCCTGAGTTCTGTGCAGGAAGATGCTGACCTGCTCCTTCACAGCACAGAGGATCATCATCCCTTCCTTCCATCTGGAAGTGATTATGTGTGTCAGCCATTAAACCCTCCCTCTCCTTCAATCACTGGTTTCCATTTGCTGTAGTCTTCTTTCCCATAACATTTTAAATGTCTCCTACGGTCTGGGCCAAATCCCTACAACGATTCTAGAAAAACAAGTGATGTACAAAGCAAGACAATAAAACACTCAGAGCTACCTTAAATTCCAAAGAAATCTGAACGTATCCGCGTTCCATATGAATGGTTATAATAAACTCTTGGAGCCACAATTACCCCGCAGACCTGTAGTCATTTACTGGACCACAATGTTTTTCCCTCTTACTGAACCTTTTTTCTTAAAGAAAAAAGTATGTATTGATGAACACATGAGTTTTTCATCTCTGTAGAAAAAATATTTTATTTTCAGGGGTTAGAGAAAACCCTAAATATTAAAATTCTACCCAAAATACTTTTTGTACCCCCCACTACCAAAGGAAGTGTAAATTTGCATTTAATTCCACTGAAATTGGAAAATCATGCTGGCCTTAATGGGAACACATGATGGCTCCCACATGGGAAGATAGAAGCTTCCAGAAGTGAGTTTGCAAGTTCTCGGTTTTTCTTGCTTACGTGTTCAGTTGCCAGTTTGGCTTGGTTCCCAGCATTCCTTTTGCTTCTGACCTTTAAACTTCAGTCCTGGGTTTGGAAAGAATCTTCGTTTAAATTCCCCAAGTCAAACAGCACAAATACATCTCCATGGCATGATGGGATTTCTTCACCTTGATTATATCTCTGTTTACATCTTTTAATTAATAAGAAGTTTTAAAAGAGCCAGTGTGGGTTACTAAAAGCACTGCTTGCCTTTCAATTTATTTATGCAAGAGGGAGCTTTAAAGTAACTCTGGAAGGTGAGTCTGATTGTTTTAACAGGAAAGAATGTTTCACAATCTGTCAGAGTGGCCTTTCCCTTATCTGATGGGAAGTCAGTGCAAAAGGAAGAACCAAACCAAAGTCACACCCTGAAATTGGTAGCAATAAACTAAGGCTAAAAAAATGCAGTAAACTAATAAAAAAAATACTTTTGAAGTCTGGTGTTAAATTCACTTTCTGTTGCTATCCTTGAATGCAACAGTCTGGGTGACGTGCAAAGAACAGAGGTTTTAAGGACTGAGGAGATGACTCCATGGGTAAAGTGCTTGCCAGGCAATCATGAAGATTGAAGTCCAGATGTCCAACACCCAGGCGGGCCGGGCAGTCCTCCTATAGTCCTAGTGGATTATAGGAGGGGTGGGGGAGATGGGGGGCAGGGAAGGCTAGTAGGCACTGATGAGCTTTTGGTTCAAGGCTCGAGAGGTCTTGTCTCAATATACAAGGTGAAGAACAGTGAAGGGTAACAACTGATGCCAACCCCTGCCTCGCATGCATACACGCCTTAACATGTGTGCACACATGGTAGAACAGAGGTCTATTGGGACCACTATTCTGGAGTCGCTGGCACCTGCCCTTCGTCTGGGGCAAGTATTTTTACTGCCTGACTGGCCGAAGAAGACACAAAGCATGCGTCAGTTCAGATCTTTCCTTGTCTTCCTATGAAAAGGGGGTCCCAGCCTGATGACTTTATAGAATGCCAATTACCTCCCAAAGGCCCCATTTCCAAACACCATCAACATATCCATATAGGGATTAAGTATCACCTTGAGTTGGGAGGGGACATTCAAACTATGGCACGTGGCGGAGGTCACTGGATGATTCGGCTGACCGGGGTCACAAAGATTAGTGACTGTACATCTCTGTTGTTTTACTTTGACAAGGGAAAACATTTGGTCAGAGTCTTTATGCACTAAAAGACTGAGAAAACCAAGGTGAGAGTTGTGCCAAAGTGGACCTTTACCTCAGTCCTTGTGGAAAAGAACCAAAGGCAGCCAAAGGCTAAGAGCCAAGATGCAAAGAATGCTGGGAAGAAGAGACAGACTTCTCATGGGATCTGCACTGTGTGCATGTTCATTGCCAGGACACAGGCAGAGGGAATCCTTCTGTGCCCACAGGCAGGTATGCCCTGTCTTTTCATAGCAGTGGGAGACATGACAGGCATCTGTGTGGAGGTGCCTGATCCGATCACTTCTTAAGTTTAATTGACAAAGACCAACTGCCGGGTTAAATTCTTTACATGTATATGTATGCATGTGTAGGTGTGTATGCATGCATATGTGTGTGTGTGGAGGCCAGAGCTCAATCTTTGGTGCCATTACTTAGCCAACATCTACCTTGGTTTTTGTCCCAGACATGGTCTCTCACTGACTCAGAACTCACTAAGTAGGCTAGGCGAGGCTGGCTAGCCGGAGAACCCCTGGGATCTGCCTGTCTCTGCCTCACCAGTGCTGGAGTTACAAGCACATGCCACCATTCCTGACTTGTTTCAGTACATGGGCTCCAGGGATCGAACTCAGACCCTCACTCTTTCAAAGCAAGCCCTTTCCTGACTGAGCCATCTCCCCAGCCCCAAAGATTAGTATTTAATCTAGCTGTCTTGCATTATCAGAATCAATCCTGGTCACTTCGACCTTAGCAGTAGTAGTTCCTTGGCTACACAGCTCATCACCCGGATCGGCACTTAATATCTGATCCCCTCTTTAACTCCTTGGCCTCCTCCTTCCCAAAGACTGATAATGTAGTCTTCCTACTGAATGGATCTTTTATTTAAGATGAGATGTTACCACACTCAACATACGGTACAGTTTTTAATGACTATGTCATAGTAGCCTCAATCTAGTCTCCAAAAAGTGGTTGCTAACTTTTGCCATGAGTTAGGGGTTAAAGAAAGGCTTTAGGGTTCTTGCAATAGTATTAACGTTTGTCAAGTCTCCTTAAGTGCTGTCGAACTCCGTCTTAAACCACAGCCACCAATCAGCATCACTCTTCTAATACCTGTATATGAAACCAAAGAGCTGGGAGAATGTAGCTTCCCTGTTGGTCAAGCTTTTCAGAACTTGTTCATGATGCTTTGCAACATTAATTGTAGAATCTGGTTGATGGGCTATTTTCCATCTTATAAAATTTTAATTTGGATCTCCTTTTGCAGAAATCACAGTGTTCAGATGACAAGGTGGGCTGTACCAGTATCAAGTGATCAGTGAAGAGATGCAGGCAACCTGTCCGTTCCTGTGGTCCAAGGGGCACAGGGGAGACTTTGGGCAATGATTTCCAGCTACTGTTGAGACCACTTACACAGAAGGGGTAGAAAACTGGAACTTCAGGCTTGGGTGACACTTTGGAATCTAAGTCATAGTAAATTATCTTCCCCAAGAGGAAATAGGAACAGGTAAGAGCAGTGTGCAACATGGTTCCTAAGAGAATTTTCTGGATGTGATCATTGACCAGAATTATCTGTTTAGTCAATGAATATCTATTCATCATCTACAATGTGGAAGATATTTTAAAAATACAACAATGATATCTGCCCACAGGGAATTCAGTTTGTCACAAGAAAAAAACATGAAGAATACAGCCTAGGCTACACAGTGAGTTCCAGGGTAGCCTGAGCTACAGAATTGAGACCCTGTCATAAAGAACTAAATGAAATAAAACACTACAATAATAAACAGTATTTTCTTCAGTGTTTTTATTAAGATATCTTACCTTCCTCAGAAGCTGTTCTTCAATCCTAGAAACTCAATCCCCCCCCCCCTTTTTTTCTCATTCTTTCTCACTCTGTGTCAACCATCCTGGATCTTTTAAGATTTTCTATATTGTGGGGCCAGAGAGTTGGCTCAGCAGTTAATAACACTGGTTGTTTTTGCAGAAGACCTGGGTTCGAATCCTAGCACATGCATGGCAGCTAACAACTGTCCTAACTCTAGTTCCAGGGGATCCGACAACCTCTTCTGTCCTCCACAGGCATTGCATGACATGGGTTCACTTACCTACATGCAGGCAATACACACAGACATGAAAAAAATAAAAAAATATTAAAAAAAGATTTTCCATATTATAATTTAGCTTAGTGAAGGACATTTTGCTCCTTAGGCCACATACAGTAATATCTATGACTCTTTGGATTGTCAGTTGAAGGGCAGGAGGTTAAGAAGGCATTTAGACCAGGGATACTGCTATGCATACCACTATGCATGAAAGAGTACTCCGCAGCGAAGGATTCTGTGGCCTCGATGCAATTAATGTTGATGGTAAAAGAATGTCTACTATTCAGCCTTCAGCTCATCGCTCCACGCTATTACCTCTCTTACTGATAAATCTCCAGATATTGTTCTCATTCAAAACAGCGCATAATTCCACAGGCAAAATGTAAATAAATGTAGGTATATGTGTAAATACACAGGGAATGTGAACACACACACACATACACACACACACACACACACACACACACACACACACACACACACATATATATATATATATATGAATGTGCATCTATTTGGCTTTAATTGTGACTTGGTCAGTGCTGGGAGATGGGCTTACTTTTCTTTCCAGAGAGGTACGCCAGATTTAAACTCAGATCTCACAGCTTCTCTGGATTTTCTTTTTAGTCATTCCACAACCCTGTCTTGATTGGTGGTGGTCCTTTAGTGACCATTCTTGGGTCCCTGTCTGCAGCCAACATCAGCTAGTCTCTGCTAAAGTAAACTTAATGCTGGTGGTGTTGCCTGCATTTCCAGTGTTAAGATAACGGGGACGGAGGAGTCTGTGGTCATGAACTAGCTCTGGCTGGCCAACATTTTCATTTGTACTTTCTTCAGTAATTGCATCAGCTGTCTAATGAAGAGGAGACATGCGTGGCATCTCCAGTATTCTTTTGACATTTATGTTTGCCAAGTTGTCTTCATTTCCTTGTTTTATTTAAAGATGTGTAAGCAATTAATCTAGTTATTTTCTAATTGAAATCTATGAGCCGTGCTCATTAGGAAAATCCCACATGAAAGAAACCAAAGCAGAGGAAAACCAACCTTTTCAAATTTAGAATCACTGTTTCAAATATGATTCTGACAAGCCTCCCTGCTCGTGTATAAAGACGTGGATGGATGGACAAGATGCGGATAGATAATGGGAATCTCAGTCTGCAGGAGGGAGCATCACGGCTCCCGGCGGTTTGCCTTTAATTTAGTAGAATAACAGAAATAAAGCTGAATTTATCTCTGAGTTACAGACAACGGTTTCATTAACACCAGTAACATAAGTCTTTAGCCCCTTCTACTAGGGTTGAAGTTTTCTCTGCACTTTGGGATCAGTGGAGGAGCATTTAAATACCAGAAGAATGCACTGAAGGCTGTTCAGCACAGACCCTGGGACGTGAGACTCGGGTTTCAGAGTTTCCTACAGAACTTGGGCTCATCCATGTGAGCAGTCTAGGCAGGAACCATTGCAGGAATAATAATAACAGTAATAATAACAGAAGTATTGTAGAGTTAATACCTGTGCAGCTCTAAAAAGTATATTTTGACTCATGTAGCTCAGTAGGTAGCAGTTGGGACAATGCTTGCCTAGCACATGCGAAGCTGCCTGTTTTGTCCCCAGCACCGTACACACTGGGCGTGGTGCTACATGCTTGGAATTCCAGCATTCAGGAGATTCACTGTTCATATTTCCCTCCCTCCCTCCCTCCCTCCATCCCTCCCTCCTTCTCTCCCTTCCTTCCATCATTCCTTTCTTGTTTTATAAACATTTTTATTTTGGTGTGTGTGTGTGTGTGTGTGTGTGTGTGTGTGTGTTTGTGTGTGTGTGACCCCTGTGGAGGCCAGGGGTCAGCCTCAGGCAGGTGTTCCTTAGGAGCTGACAACTTGTTTTCTGAGACAGGATCTCTTGCTGGGACATGGGGCTTGCCAGTTAGAAGAGGCTGGTCGGCCAGTGAGTCCTGAGGCTGTTCCTATCTTTGTTTTCCCAGCAGTGAGATCACAAGCACCTGTAACCATGTCCCAATTTTTATATGGATTCTGAGGATCTAACTCAGGTCCTCATGCTTTCAAGGCAAGCCCCTTACTCTTAGCCAAGTTCACAGTACTTTTAAATAAACTGTTCACCTGGTCCAACAAAGCTCTGAATGAGACTGAGAAAAACTCCGAGCCTGGGGAATGTTTGGTGGACAGAGACTGGCCCACTGCTTCTACCCCCGCTAAGGTTTTCTCTGAACAGCTCCTTCCCTGAATATCAACATACCTGTCCCATCAGTCAGAACCATGCTATCAGTCAGGTTTCAAAACAGCTAATTCTTATATAAATTCATCAGATCTTTCAGGAGAAATTTCTCTGTTCTCATCTTATCAATCCAATTTCCCATACACCTCCCTAAGCAACCCTCACTCACCCCATCCCCGTTTTCTTATAAGTTTGCAAGTCTACACAATGCTGATTTGATCCATGGAACATTTCATGTAGATGGTCATTGTTCATTATTTATTTCTAATTGACTTGTTATTCTGTGACAAATTAGAGAATCCCAGTGTCTTTACACTTCCTGCCCATGTCTTCCAATCTCAGTGCATACACCCCGTGTGATGCATTTGAGACTAACTTGATGAGAATTCCCTCAACTCTTCATCTTCTGTGTTTTCTATCTTCTATCTCTCTTTGTCCTCTCTTGTTTTAAAAAAAGTATTTTACTTATTTTTATTTTATGTGTATGAGTGTATTCCTGCATGTATGTGAGTGCACCGTGTCGTGCAATGCTGCGGAGGTCAGAAGAGGGCTTTGGATTCCCCTGGAACTGGAGTTAAGGATGGTTCATAGCCGCCATGTGGGTGCTGGGAATCAAACCCAGGTCCTCTGCAAGAGCAGTCAGTGCTCTTAACCACTGAGCCATCTTTCCAGCCCCTCTTTATCCATTTTTAAGAAGCCATCTTCTGATTTTCCTTCCATAAAATCTACCCTTTTATCTGTTCTAAACTTAGTATCTTCACAGTTCATGACGTGTCTATGAACACTCATTTTTAAAAAATATTTAAAGCTTCCTATTTTTTCTTATGTTTTTATTTAATTTCACTTTTTGTATGTGGTGTACGTGTATATATGTGTTTGTATAGATGTACATGCATGTGCACAGGTACATGTGTATGCATATGCATAGAGCCATAGGTGAATATCAGGTCATGTGTTCATGTGTGGGATGTGTATGTACACCTACGTGAGACTGTGCATACACATGCATGTAGAGACCAGAAGTTGATGCTGGCTTTCTGGGCTTCTTCCTCAGTCACCCTCTACTTTTTTGGGGATAGGGTCTTTTACTGAGCCTGAAGCTATCTGATTTGGTTATGTTTGCTAGCAAGCTCTAGGGACCTGTCTGTCTCTGACCCACTCCCAGCACTGGGGTTATCTACCTATACCTTTCTGCTTGACTTTCTGCATGGATGTTGGGACTCCAAACTCAGGACTTTATGCTTATGAGACAAGCATTTCCCTAACTGAGCCATGTCCCCACTCCCCAAATCTTTTTGCATAGAATTTTCTAGCTGGGGGCTGGTGAGATTGTTCAGAAGTTAAGAGCACTGGCTGCTCTTGCTGAAGACCCCAGTTCAGTTCCCAGCACCCACATGGTGGCTAATTATCTCCATAACTCTAGTTCCAGGGTATCTGATGCCCCCTTCTGGCCTCTGTGGGCATTACACAACACGGGTGCACTTACATATATGTGGGCAAACACTCATGTACATAAAATAAAAAATAAAAAAGAATTATCTAGGTGTATGCACTTTTGCTTGACCTTTATTTTTCTTTCATTCTGTTATCCATTTAGGACTCTCTATCAAGCACCTATTTTTCAATGTCAAACTTAGTAATAGAGAAATTTCTACGTAAGACTTACAAGATAGCCACTTATTTTTAGCCTCTATTTGTCTGCCTGTATGAACATACACAATTAGAGGTGACCTCCTACCATATCCAACTATGTTTCTTCATTCTTGCTGTAATTTGAACCAGCAAAGCACACATCTGATCAGTCTATACTCCCCCTTCTCTAGATTTGTCATATCGAATGTGTCTGCTGTTCCTTCTGTTTCAGTGTGGAATTCTATTTATGATTTTGGGATGATTCAATTATATCATTCTTTTCCTAAACCCACCTGATGGAACCTGAATTCCATTTCTTTCAGATAGAGTGAAACTTTACAGTCTTTATTCATGCTGGGCTCTATTTCAAACTGTATCTGTTGTT